CAAGTCGTACCCTAAATAACGCAGAATGTAATTATTCTACTATTGAAAAAGAATTACTCGCAATTGCCTTTGAAACAAAATATTTCAGACCCTATCTTTTCGGTCGAAAATTCACCATTGTCACAGACCACAAACCATTACAATGGTTTTTTCCATCAAAGAACCAAATTCAAAATTAGTACGATGGCGATTAAAATTAAAAGAATTTGATTACACAATTCATTACAAAAAAGGCAAACAAAATTTGAACGCGGATGCTCATTCAAGACCACCACGAGAAATCAATCCAATAGAAGCAGCAAAACCACCACCAACCCACATGTCTGCAATTTGTGAACAGAATCGAGAAAAAGAAGATAACGAACAATATCTATGGCATGATAGAATGAAACACTTCTTTGAATCTGAGGAAAATCGCTTCGAACCAATTAAAAAGAAAAAAGAGAAAATAAAAATAATTTCAGACATTCAAATTAAACCACATCTTCAACAACAAAATATAAAAACTCCTCGTAATCACCCAAGCAACCCAAACACAGATACAGCTTCTGAAAATGCCAAATTATTAAGTCCCAGTAAATCCGGAACAATTCACACGTCAAAGGAAGACAACATTTTAGGCGCACCTTACGTGAATAAAAGTATAAACACATTCAAAAACCAAGTCATTTTCAAATGGACTACTAAAGAAAAATCTTACATAAATATCAATAAATTATTTGACACAAAGAAAAGGATTATCATGCTTATAACATAGGAACCAACAACTGAATAAATTCATAAACTTCTAATAGACTATTTACCACCCGATAGCTATTGTCTATATTTTCCTAACAAAGAATTGGAACCCTTAATAATTAAAGTATTTCAAGAAACCTTTAAAAATAATGCTTACAAACTTGTCATTTCTAACACTCTACTTGAAGATATTACTGATTCTAATGAACAGAAGCAAATAATAGAAAGATATTACGTAATGAAAACTTTACATCCCGGAATGACTGAAAATATAAAAATTATCAAGCAAACTTATTATTGGCCCACACTAGAACGAGACGTAATAAATTACGTAAATACCTGTGAAACTTGTCAAAAATCTAAATATGAAAGACACCCATTCAAATTGGTGTACAAACCAACCCCAACTGGCACTAAACCTTTCGAACATATCTATATAGATATACAGGGTTGCTCATTAGTGCGTCAAAGTGCGATATCTCAGTAAATATGAACTTTACAAGAAAATACGTCCTACGAAAGTTTTTCATGTTTAAAAGGTCCACATTTTAAAATTACTTTCCAATATACGGGGTGTATCATAAACGTGTGGTAGTTACCAACTTTGGTTTTTTAAATGGAACCNNCCCTTTTTTCATTCATTTTCAGGTTTGTCGTCAAAATTTAAGTTAAGTTTGTGTCAAACGTTTTACCTGAAAAATTTACGATTTCCGAGTTATTCGTAAAAATGTGAAAGTTTTGACAGCTACTGGGTTCCACAGAAATCGATGCTGTACACTAC